TTCATCAGCATGTTTAAAGCATATTTGTATTTCTGTTCCATTAATATTTTGAAAACATAATTATGAACAAAGGAAAAGAAAGATATAGGACTTAATGATAGAAATGTTTTATTAATCAAATATATTTACATTTTTGTCTTTTCTTTAAATGTGTGCCTTTTTCATTTAAACACTGGTAATCTTTACAGTTTTTATCACAAGAATAAAGCTACATGCATGACTTAATTGGTCCTTTGCAGTAAAAAAAAAAAAAAAAGACGCAATTTTATGACGTTTAAAAAATGCAAGCAAGCTGTTTACCATTCTAAGTACAGTGCCATTATTATTCTTATTACAACAAAGGACCCTTCCAGCATACTGTACACTTACTGCATGGCTATTTGCCCTTTTGTAGATTGCTTTGATGATGTCTAAACTTTCAAAAATGAGACAAATCAGAGGAAAAAGACAGCACAATCTCAAATGTTTTATTTTATGGAAACTCATACACAGAAGGTATTTGGATGCAACAAAAAAGTGCACTAAGGATAAATTTAAAATAAGTCATAGCAATACATAACTTTCAAAAGTAGTGAGGGCTTTTATCACTTTTTTTATTTTCAAATATTTATCATTTAGAAACCACATCTGTTTGGCACATATCAGACAGCCATATACCCTAATGGCACCATACAAGTGATAAATAACAATTTTAAAAAGAGATAAGTATACCAAAGAAAGTAACAGATCCACACATCATAGCCTTTGTGTTTTTAGTACCTAATGTGCTGTAATTATTACATTGCTCAAAGCTCTGTTCTTGTTCAAAAGAAAACAATCATTTTGGTATTTTAAAAGTTCATATTATTTGTCAACTGTGATTTCTTAAGGGGCTTGAAGCTTTTCTAAGAGGTGTGTGTGAGGGAGAGAAAGAGACTTCATTCTGTGTGTATGTGAACATTAGAAATGTATACAATTTTAGATATATTGTAAAAGATTTTGGATTTTGCAGTATTGGAAGAATGTTATACTTGTACATATTTACCAAACTTCAAAAGGGAGATCTCAACAGTTTCAGAAATTCAGAAATGGTAGGCACATAATTACTACTGTTTGAGGTAATCGTACTTTACTTACTGTTTTAATTCACTGTGTTCAAGCATATAAAATTATATCCTTAATGGTCCCAACTGCATAATTACTACATCGATACCCAAAAAGAAACTCACTCAGCATTCAGTAAGAGTAGAAAGAAACTAGATTTTGTTTAGTTCAATTCAGGATGCGTTTTAGCTTGTCAATACTCTCAAGGACAGTTTTACATTTCCTATATTGTAATAGATGCACACTGTTGCACTGAATAACTTGAGAGCAAAACACCCACTCTGAAATCACGTATTTTTTTGCACTGAATTGCATTTGTATGCTGCCAACTATATTGTGAAAGTGCCTTAGTAAAGCGACAATGCAATAATTAAAAATGTGCTTGGGAAACAAGCACAACATAACGAATAAAATGTCCTTTGGAAGTACAAAATAATTCCTGCAAAAATCATGCTTTTCACGGGTATGTTTAAAAACAAATCCCAACAAACTCCTAAAAGAATGCAGTTAGTCTTCAAATCTTTTGGGCCACATCCAAGAAAGCACTTTAGCGCAATTATAAGCACATGATTAAGGCCATCGCTTTTCAGCAATGGAGTTATGCACAACTTTAAGTACATGCTTAAGTGCTTTTCTGAACTGGCCCTTAAAAACTACTGCAAAGCATAGGCCTGACCTTGTGAGATACTGAGTGCTCTGAACTACCACTGATTTCACCTCATAGAAAAAGAAGAGAATACCTTGATAGTACAAAATCATAGTTTGCTGATACAACATGTAGCTCACATTTGCCTCTCAGAGTTTAGCGTATCTCATTTCTCACCTAAGTTGCAAAACCTACTTATTTCTGCAGTTTATGATGAAATAATTCCATAATTTACAATAGTGATGAGAGTCTTGCTCTGTTCAAGTGCTGAATAGGACCATTGCATTATATTGGGATTATTTCATTACTAAGCTAGAATAATGTGTGTGCATCACGGTACCACCAAAGATGTGCTAAAAGGTGTAGAAGCCGTTCTGGTCTTTCTAAAGTAGAGATGGCCCCAATCCAAACACTCCCAAACGTTAGGAAAATACAGATTTAGTTCTGAACTTTGCTGCTTAAGCCAATCACTACTGTGAATAAAATGATGCCTAAATTCTGACCTTTAAATTTTAATATTTGATACCTAACTATCCACGTTACCTGGCTCTCATCCTATAGAAAATCAGATGAATACTAGACTAGAACCTCAAATAATTCAAAGGATAATTCTGGATAAGCATCCATAAAGTTGGACTCTTACCCAAGCTTATCCAAATTTCTTTAGTCTAGAAACAGGGCTGGAAAACTCAAGCGGAAAATGCCTTTTTACTAGATTTCTGCTACTTTCTGATTTTGTAATTGAATACTTATAAACAACTTGAAAATTAGGACCAGGCAAAAAGAATGAATCTGTTTCACAAAACAAAATTACAATTTTGCCTCCATGACATAGCAAGACCCCCAAAACTGGCTCCATCCCATTATCTTAAAATTGCAGTGTTTGCAATGAAACAGAGAACATTTTAAAATATTAAATGTGAAAATTGATCTTTTATTAAACAAAATTATGAAATTAAAACACGTCAAGGTTTATCCTTGAAAAGAGACCATTTTTGAGTGAAAATTAGCCCAGAAAATTCAGCCTTTTTTTGTTAAACTGAACCCATTTAAAGAATTGTTGAGGTTTTTAAATGATGCTGTGAATACTTCAGACAACCCTTAATGCAAGACCACACCAATGTGGATCAAACACTGAAAAATAATATAGAAACTGACAAATAGAGTATCTTGACTGTGAACTGTTATGGTGTGTAGTATTGCCAGCAGTAAAATAGGAAGAACACTTGGCTACAAATGACCAGTATTTCTATCATTTTATTGCCCTTCATTTCAATACCACCTCCTTTTTTCTAAACTCTCCCTTCTCCAGCACTGGAATCCCACATTCCTGTGTGTACAGGCTCTGAAGTAGGTAGGACACTCATTTTCCCAGTGGGATCCCAATGTGCACGTAGCTGCTGAAGAAAGCTTGTGTACCGTATATTGGGTGAAATCCTGGGCTCATTGAAGTTAACAGGAGTATTGCCATTGACTTCACTGAGGCCAATATTCATCCCTTGTATTTATAAATAACGTTAGGAAGTCAAGATCCAGCATCTCTCTGATTACCTCTGCTCTGGGTTGCTGTGCGCTCTTTTTTCTTTAGAATAACACATAGAAATATCAACAGAGCTGTGTGGAAAGAAAGGTTAGTAGTCCTGTTTGATGGTGTTTGATTTAAAGCGGCACTGCTTTGTGTAGTCTTGTTTTTGGGCAGAAGTCACCATTGAAACTGATGAGGGCATGCTGCCTAAAATCTGATGAGATGATATGACAGTTGCATCAGTGCCTACCAACTCAGGAGACTAAGCATTGCTTTAAAGATGAGTGAGATGTAACCAATACCCCTGCCTCCACAAAGGACTTTACTTACACATAAACATTTACTCTTAAAAAAAAAAAAATGAACTGGATCCAGAGGGATATATTTTTAATCCTGAATGCTTTAAGGAGTACCGGTTAAAATCCTGGCCCTGCTGAATCAATGGCAACATTCTCATTGTCTCCAGTGGGGCAGGATTTCACCTAATGTGTGCCACTTGCAATAAAATCACATCGCATTAGCTGTGCCTGTTCAGAAAGTATACAGCCTGAAGGTGTTTAGCCTTTCCTGTATTCACACACTAAGTACTCTATATTATTGTCTATATATCTTTATGAGGACACTTCTTTTCTTGGTAAGTGTGTATAAACTCCCTTTAGCATTAATAGGCATGAATGAAAATTAGGTAGAGCTCTCTAAAGTGACTGCAATGAAGCCACACACAAGACACCTGGATTCAGGTTTTCTTACAATCTTGAAACTGGCTGAGTTTGTTGAAAGTTTCAAATGACCTGGGATTGCTTTCAAATGAACCTGAGCCAATAAGATACAAATATCTGGACACTGTAAAATAGGCTACAGTAGACTTTTGATTAACAAATCATTACATCAACCTCCTAAATAAAATCTAATCCTTTTTGTTTTGCTTCTCACTGTAGGACTTTCAGATAGAGAATTTATTAACATTAGATTTTTACTGAAAACACTTTCTCTCTTTTTAAACAGTGATATTGTGTTTCAAAGCTCTACGTGTTACAATATTTTCCTTGCTGATAGTCTTACACAACTGTATATCTATAGACATGAAAAACATTTCTTGTTTGGTTTTCCAGGAACTTTGTACCAGGACAAAATTGTGTAATGAAACCATGTACATGGAAAAAGTGTGCAAAAATGTAAAGTTTGGAACCATGAAATGAAATGTCCTTTGGTCTGAGGAACTGGACACTGATTCAGATATGGTTCTAGATCACTTTCCATTGCACCATTCAGACACAAGAATTTCTATTATAGCTATGTCAAGACCAACCCAACCAAATATAAGGACTATTTCTGGGTCCTTTGAATCATGCTCCAAAAAAAGGTGCAACAATAAACAAGTCCATGTGCATTCGCAGTCATAACTATAGGCAGAAGAACCCTTGAGATTCCTCGCTTTGGTATTAAATAACAATTATAAATGCTTTTAGAAATAAAGCAATACATGGTGGGACTTGAAATGTTAGCAGTCCCAGGTTATTTGTCCATTGAAATAAGTCTCATCCCTAATCATAAATAAATAATCTCTTTCCTGGTCTTACTTCCATGCCAGGATCAATATCTTTTAACATCTTACTTATTTTATTACTGCTTTTGGTTTTCTGGGACTGATTGAAAGTTGCTCAGAGGAAATCTTTGGTTTTGCTTAAGTGTCCGTGACATTTAATCATGACTTTCCTTGCAGTTTAATTCCAACCAGTCAATCAGTTAATCCACTTCAATTGATTCTGTGCTCTCTGTTATTGGCTTGCACTCATTGGGCATCCTCTGGTGTCGACTCAGCTGGGTGGCTTGTGTGAAGCTCCTCTCACACCTCTCGCACCTGGTGAAGGCAAGAGAGAAAATTGAGACTGGGGAGCTGCTCTTGCGGGGAGGCGGGGAGTGATGGGCTTTGTCTCATCCTGTCTAATCAGAACAGACACTCAAAAGTGGCTTCAGATTTTACTGGCTCAAGAGGTTTAATTGGTGGCTACTTCCAAGGCCTTGATGCCTATGATGGGACAAGGCCTGTCTGATTCAGAACAGAGGAATCTGTCAATAGACAGGGGGAAGGTGATTTCTCCAGAGAGGCCTGTCCTGCTGTAGCTCTGATCACTGTCAGTTCAAATAGATAAAGAACAAAAAGAGATTTTTAGGAGTGAGCCATCAAAGCAGCAGCTTGGCTGCAGTTTTCTGCTCTATAACCCCTGAGGAGAAATTGATGACAAATAGAATTTCACCTTCTGCTAATTTAAAAATCAGAAATTCACCTATTGGAAGAAGAGAAGCTGTAGAGCAATAATTGCTTAGTGTAATAACAAGAGAAAAACTCTGTATTTATCTATTACTATATAGTTGGGTTTACTTTAAACAATCTGGTAGGATTAGTGCTTGGTTAATCAACTGTCTGAAAACATCCACAACATTTGATATAGTTGGGGGGAGGGGGAGAGAAGAACTCTTAATCAGCAGTGTGTGTTTCGTTGTCTTTTAAGTCTTTTCATTACCCTTCCCCCCTCTCCAGTGAACTACAATCTGTGGCAAAATAATCAGAGAATTAAGATATGAAATTTGAGGGGAAAGAAAAGGGGTTTCTCTAGTTCAGAATGAGTCATCTGGCCTTCTAGTAAAAGAGAATCCCTTGTGTATCTAATATCAACTTCTTTACATATTGTGTCCTCTTAATTAGCACTGAGAATGCTAGATATAATTGTACAATGAGCTAGGAATACAGCAGATTTTTCACTGTAAGGCGCTCACTCATAAAGCCACCATTAATTTAATGGAGCTGTGTGATGTTTTATCTTCATCAGTAAAAGCATCACTATAATGAATTAATGCCCCAGCTTCAAAAAGTGAGGAAAACAATGGCCTGTTACCTTGTATCCATCTTTCTCTCTTCAGTGATATAAATCAGTGGTTCACAACCAGAGGTACACATGCCCGTGGGGTTATGCAGAGGTCTTCTGGGGGTACATCAACTTATCTAGATATTTGCCTGGTTTTACAACAGGCTACATAAAAAGCACTAGCAAAGTCAGTACAAACTAAAATTTCACTCAGACAATAACTTGTTTATACTGCTCTATATACTGTACACTGAAATATAAGTACAATATTTATATTCCAATTGATTTATTTTATAATGATATGGTAAAAATGAGAACATAAGCAATTTTTCAGTAATAATGTGCTGTGACACTTTTGTATTTTTATGTCTAATTCTGTAAGCAAGTAGTTTTTAAGTGAGGTGAAACTTGGGGGTACTCAAGACAAATCGGACTCCTGAAAGCGGAATAGTAGTCCGGAAAGGTTGAGAGCCACCGATATAAATTACTGAAGCTGATTTATTACAGGATTTGCCATTTACAAAAAGAGTAAGAAGGCATATTCATAATTATGGTATGTTCTACATGTTAGTAATTTAAAAAAAAATGTTTAGGAACCCAGGGCACAGATATTATTCATTCATCTGAGCTATTGTACCAGCATAGAACATCAACATCCGTACATTGTGTTTCTTTGATTGTCTTTCTGGGAATATTTTTAGCAGCCTGTTCTACTGTTAAAAACTGCACTGTGATCTTGACAAATGTAAAATGTCAGCGTTAGGTCTGATACATTATCAGCTCAATGAAAATAACTCAGAAGTATTGATTGCCTAATGATTTTTTGGTGTATTCATTAACGTCTATGTGCAGATCATCCTCTCTCCAGAGCTCCTGAAGTGCTGATGACACATTAGTGTATTGCTAATTGTTTATTAGAAAACTGATTAGTTACCAGATTAGTATGTCAAAATATACTACTTTTCATTACTTGACAAACTTGCAAATTATATTCTTATATATAAAAAATCATGAAGGAACTGGAATCAGTTTTGGTGCCAGGATTAGTTTAGGCTATACGAGTCACTGCAATTTCCTCAACTTTGCATTTTGTTATTTGATATATGACTCGGTGTGTGTGTGTATTATAGGTATATGTTTGTATTATGCTGTACACACATTCTAGATCAATACAGACCTATGTAGATCTACACAGCAGTGTTTACCTACATATTCCATATATGATATATGTAGGCTAAGATTTTTCAAGCATGGGCCTGTAAAATTAGGCTTCTAAATTAATATTTGGACACACAAAATGTGGCTTGATTTGCAGAGATGTTGAATAAACCAGAAATCCCACTCAGTTGATAGGAGCTGAGGGTACACATAATTTTTGAAAATCATGCTACTTGTTTAGGTGCCTAAATAATTTTTGGTATAACTGTCTTGAAAGCAGTTTGAAAAGTTAAAAGTCCATTGCTAAAAATGTGGACCAGGAAGGAAGGAAAGAAATCACTTCAATATAAAAATATTTAGTGAACCAGTTTGATTACAAATGTTAATTTTGTATGTGTGGCTGATCATCTTTAAGGCCTAGTATACAACAAAGCACTTTATGCGCATATGTAATCCGATCCCTATTCAGCAAAAACCTTAAACTCATGCTTAAATCCCATTAAAAACAGTGGGGCTATGCACATGCTTAGTTTGAAATGCTTCAAATTAAACACACATTCAAGTGTTTTGCTGGTTTGGGGCTAGGTTGCTCAGCACACTGGAGGATCAAGCTGTAAGTAAATATCCAGATATGAACAGATGAGGTGGGCCATCACAACCATCAGTATCACAGTCTTAGGATAAAGTAGAAGGAAAGAAAAACAGAAAGTGGACAGTGTATAGGAAATAATGTTTCCAGGATTGTGCTGTGGGTTTTTTCTGTAATGGCTGTCCTTCCCCACATACTCTCTGTAAAGTAACTGGTGTAGTATGCTGTATTCTTCAAATGGACCAACAAAGACAGATACATGCATATATTGAGCCACAAGTGTTTAATATTGTGCACTAGTTAAGTAAACTGATAATTGGTGGGGAAGGTGGCCGGCATCTAGTATATGTGGAAGCAAACGTGTTCCTTAAAGTTATTGCAGAAAGAGAGACAATAGTTCAGCTCAACAGTGATCACTCACAAGGGTTAACACACAGATCACAACCCATCCTGATTCTCTCTGAGATTTTAGGCGAGATTTTTCAGACCAGCCTCAACACAATCTTTATTTTTGAAGGTGAAGGTTTGTTATTACATAATGTGGCTGTAACTATTAGTAGTTATTCTTCCTACTACCTGCTACGAAGGTGCAATCAGAGGGGACAGATGTTCTGTACAACCACTAATATTTATTTCTAAAATGCAGTGTGGGTTTCATTTACCCCTGAGCAGAAGGCCAACACAAGAGCCGTGTACTAAAATTCCATATAAGCTCTTTGAGAGCCCTTTGTGGCACTTAAGTGGTCCCTAGGCCCCATGTCAGGCCCATGCACAGGAATGATTTAAAACTGTGCCACCGAGTTAGAGGCCATTACTGAAAACTGGATCCTTGTTATTTTTCATATTTTGAAGGGATCGTTGTTTTGAATGAAATTGGACAGCTGTTATACCATAATATTCAATGGCACCATATGCAAGATGTATCAAGCTCTTGCCTTATCCACAGCACATCTCTCTCTTTTACTAGTTTGATTAAGGGGGTGGGGAGGAGAAAGAAGAAAGTGTACATACTTTCGCTTTGCTCAATGGAATGGCTGGTTTTCTAAGGGTCTCAAACAGCATTGACATCATGGTGGTTTTTCAGGAAGTACTGTTTGGCTAGATAGTGCCTATGTCACTGTTCTCCTAGTTCGCTGCACAGTACCCTGTCACTGTTAGTGGTTGTCACAGCAGTAACATCATGTTCCTTTAACTCATCTTTAGCTAGTGTCACTGAACAGGAAGAGACTGAGGGAGTAGAATGTAAGATAGTGGCTTGGTCAATAATTTTCTGTTTTTTCCCACCTTTTAATGTGGTTGAGAACTTTGTTCCAGATTAAGAGCCATAGTGGAGACTTCAGTGAGATAAGAATACATAAAACATTACAATGATGAGGCTCAGTTCATAGCTTGTGACGACAAAAAGAAATCCCTTCCAACTGCTGCCCAGACAATGTAGCGAGGGCTTTGATTACACATAACCTCACTTAGCTTTTTTTTAATTGATAGGGAAATGCAAATAGAAAATTCTCACACACACATACAGCTAGACCTTGCAGCAAAAGAACCTTCTCCCACACCGAACCAATCACAGACTACCCCTTTAATAATAATTTTTAAACAAATTGTAAAGGGATTTTAAAATATGTCTTTTTCAAAATTGTGAGCACACAACTTTACATGCAAAAAAGTGCATGAAGTTGTATAACTAATCTATGTGCATAATCACTGTGATTCTGTGTATATTAGGCCAATATTGCATAAAAGGCTAGTTAAATGCTTAACTGGCCCTTTACGTGAGCGTTAGTTGGTTTGCGCATGTAATCACATTAACTGTACATGCATGTTACTTGTGTGCACATTTCAGCTGTGAAATTGCACATAAACCATTTTTAAAATTACACCCATGATATTTTTAAAATAATTTAGTTCAAATTTTAATCAAAAATGTTCTGTAACTTAGTACTAGAAATTAAAAAAACACCGGAATACCAGCAACTTTCTGAACATATGTCAATTATCTCTTTTGTTAATTCCAAGAATATTCCCAAAGCCTATTCAGCCAGAACACGTTAAATTCTGTCTACATTGCCATGATTGTCTGTCCTTTAGGAGTCGGGAGAGTTTAAACCAACGGACTTTTTAGTTTTGCACTGTTTAAGTAAGCATATGCTCAAATCCCCTTTGCAAATATATATATTTTTAAAGTACATTGTGAAGCAAAACCACAAAAATTGTCTTTGAACCATGTACTACTCCTTGATATTTTAAAATGGCCTCAGAATGTGTTTGGGGTTTTTTCCTTTTGTTTTTTATGTTTGTTTTAACTTTAGTATTAAGCCCTCAATTACTTCTTCTGGTGGAAGATTTGGCAGCAACCTGGAAGGATCTGAATGGTGGTAATACACAAAAACAATAATAGTACCGATCTTTTAGATAGCCCTTTTCATCAGTAGATCTCAAAGTAATTGATAATCTTTTTAATGTATTTATCCTCACAAAACCTCTGTGAGGTACATAAGCTGCAGCTCTGTCTCTCCCCTCAACTGAGGGGGAGGGTAAACCGATTTCTGGATAATCTAATGCCCACCCTCCTGCATGCTGGTCCGCATGAGTGCGGGGGTCTGCACTTGTGGAGAAGCTTGCAGGATCAGCACATAAGAATATGGATCCCCTCCTCTGACATCTGGGGACAGGGAGAGTTGGAGCTCCAGTTTAGCTCCATGTGACATCACTATTCAGGGTCCTCCAAAGCTCTTGTAAAGACCTTCAGCAAAAAACAGAGAAATTAGAACTGATGTTTCTGTATTAAGCAGGTTAAAAAAACCCTAAGACAATTGTACAATGTTGTTCTTATCCATTGTAAGGAAGCAGTTAAGGGTGTACACATGTGTGCAAACACACACATTTATTTATATATTTCGCTACTCTGCAGTTCACCTTTAAGAAATGGCAGAACTATATTGTCAAGTACATGTATGTCTTAACATGAGCAACAAAAGAAACAAAAAACAAAACAACACCTCAGAATATCTGTTAATTACATAGTACTCAACTAAACACTTTCTTTCAAGAATGAGATTGTGGTGTCACAAAGAACATTATGGAAAAGAAAAAAAATCACCTGACCAAAGGGGGGAAAATTAATGATTGTAAATGGGGCAAAATAACAGCTCTATTGGAAACATGACAAAAACAGGATGTTAAAAAAAAAATTAAGTGGAGTCAACAAGGTTACACATAAGTAACACCTTAACATTAAAAGAAATCTATTTTCCACTTTGACCTGGGAACCTCGTCAATTAATTACTAAAATCTATTTACACAGCAACTAGATAAAAATCAATCTAATGGCCAGCACTATTTTTGGCTCTCTTTCTATGGGCTCTGTTCACTCAAGATACTGGCTCTGTGGGGGTCATTGTTGAGGCTGCAGGATTCCATGACTTGACACCCACAAAGCTGTCCTATTTTCTATTCCTGGTCCCCAAAATCTACTGTATGGGATGTGCCCAGAATTCTTATTCTTGTCCTTCCATTCCCCAGCACACACATACATGGAGGCCATGCTTCTCTTGTGGCCATATATGGAGGCTGGGCAACTCTGATGGAATCTTGCTATGAGGGGGTTCAGTGATTGACAGAAGCTCTCTTACATTAGGCAGGCATAAAATACAGGAAAAGAAAAATCATGCTGAGTGAGGGCACGTAGTGAACTGGGAAAGACACTCTCTCCCTTCAACTCCTTATTTCCTCATCCCCAGGTGAAGAAGATCAGGTATTTTACAGAAAAGAATGGTTTGGTTATTTTTTCCCGGGAGGTATTGGTTCCAGGCAGAAAATTATATGAATCCATGTCTCTCAATTCAGCTAAGAGAGAGAGACTTTTTACTAATGCACATTTTCTTCTAGAAGAGTCTCCTAGATTAAGTAAGGAGTTGGTCAGAGCAGAGTCCTTTATCTGCATGAAGTAGAACTTACATTAATCAGCTGTGCACCAGCCTCACAAATACACAAACAAACAACAAATTTCTGTGGCTTGGCTGAGTGTTGGGTTTTATTTTAAATGAATAACTAGGTAAGGTAGATAAGTGATTTCTGTACCTCCTCAGAAGCCTGCAGATCTTGTTAAATCCCCTCTTTTATCTGAGCTTATACCTCTTAAAGAAGTCCTTCATGAAATGTAGATAATAAAGGTCTCACTGTGTACATGTACATTGAAACCTGCACTAAAGGTATGACTACATGTAAATCACTAGAACTGCAGAGACAGTTACAACAACAGGTAACCACTTGTCCTAAGAATGCACTTGCAAATAAAGATGGGCCCAAGCCACAAAAATTCAAATTTAGATTTCCAACCCTACCAAGTTTGGGTGTATTCTGATTTCAGGTTTGGGATTGGCCCATTATAGAGACAGTGACATTAAAAAATCTGAAACAAGGTTTGTTTCCAAACACCCAAGGAACGTTTGAATTCAGAATGTTTGTATCAAGGATTTTGTTGAACTATATTCAAAGTTTCCAGCAAATTGAAAACCACCTTGACTGACAGCTGATTTTCTCTGCTTACTTGGATGGCCACTGCATTTGCAAATTATTTTTATGAGTTTACTAGAGTCATGTCATGGGATACACATAGTATTTTTCCAATGGTCCTGAGTCTATTTTTCTCTGTATGTGATAAACAGTTACAAATTAACTGGTATATGAGCTACTTCAGTGTATTGACAAAACAGCGATGAACCATATTATGCCTGTTACAGCACAGTCTCGACCCATCCTCTTCAGTTTGTCAGACATTTTCAACTAAGGTTCTCTAATTGAGAGACAATTGTTAAACTGCTATTTAAATTAAAACAATCAAGTTTTGATTGGATGACAGGCATTTGCTCTGGGCCATACATGTATTAGGTATCTGCATACATGCCTGGTTTGATTCTGATTTCAGTCACACTGCTAATGAGTCTGTCTGGAATCTTGACCTTGTCTTTCAAAAGAAGCTCTCCCATGGGCTGTTATGGGTGGACAACTGCTATGCCTTTCCCTCTCTGCTCACTGTTGATCAACATTGGTAGCTTCAGTTACTTACTTAAAGGGTTTTTCCCCCGTATGCGTCCGGATATGATTGTTGAGTGTTGTAGCACCAGCAAAGGCACGGCCGCAATAGCCGCACTTGAAAGGTCTGTCACTGGAATGGGTGACTACGTGGTTCCTTAGTTCTGAAGGTTGGGAGAAGGACTGGGAGCAGTGGCCACACTGATAGGGTCTGCAAAACAATAGAAACACCACATGATCACTACTTTCTATTTCAGCAAATAGAAAACAACTTGGGTGGTGCAAACTAATTTTTTCAAATTAATTTCTTAGTTTTCAAAGAGGAGTCTGGATGTGAATCTCTGGATCTATAGTAGGAAACATGCAAGCCCCCCATCCCCCATGAATCACTATGCAAATTTAGAGGACAGAATCCATGTACAGAAACTGCCAGAGATCCTACAAGGCCCCTACAAAACCCCCAATATAATCATAAAGTATTCTTCAGGTATACACAAAACCTGGATTAGATTATATGTCTGATTTTTTAGTTTCCTCAAACTAAGGGCCCAATACCATATTCCTTATTCAATGAAAACTCCCTCTAACATAGGGATTTGAGCCCTATGCTAGCAGACTCAGGAAGTCCTATTCCTCTCTAGCATTAGTGCAGTCTTAGCTAAAAATTTTACCTGTACTTGTCACTGGTATATCCCAGATTGGTTTCTATGACCGTTTGAAAATATTTTTTTTCTAATCCCTTGTACACTCCAAAAATTCCAGCTCTTTAAAGAGGAACTTTCACAATGAGACAAATTTAGAAAACAATCACAAGCTTTTGCTTTTCCTATTATTTTTCTGTATTCTTGCTGCTATTGAAGACATTTGCATTTAATTAATAGGTTTTTCCATCCTGGCCTGGATTTTCCTTTTGTGTGATCCTGAAATGAAATCATAATTCTGTTTTTGTGACATCTTAATTTCTTGCAGTGAACTGATTGTGATGCCACAAGTTCAGAATTATAACATCATCATTACAAACTCAAGTAGAAAGAAGAGGCTGAGAGACAGAAGGATGAGACAGGACAATAGTTTGAGTACCAATACCATTACTAACTTGTTAAAGTGGCAAAAAGTGTTCTGAGAAACATATACAAAGTAAATCAATTTCTGTTTTGGCAAAATAGATTTAATTTCCCTCCTTTACACAAGTCTCTCTATGTCAAAACGATTTGGTAAACTACTTCAATATTTGGAATGCTTTCTATCTGTTATGACATTTAAAGTAAATCAGTGGCAGGTCCTGTTCTGTTTATCACATTTTTTTTTAAAGAAAATTAAGAATGTCTTAAGGGATATTAATGATTTTTATAGAGAGCAGCAATTCAGGGCACAACTCTTGCTGTCTGAATTTTTAGAGCCAATGGCCAACACAGTCTTAATTGCTCTCTCTTTAACAAATGTGTATGATCAAATGGCTAGAAACCAAAACTAAAGGGAAGGAGATAGTGGTGACCAAGCATGTACAACAATTCAATTAAGTGCAAAATAAAGTGTACCCTCTCATTTGTCAAGTGAGCTGCTTAATTGTGTCTGCTTGCATCGCTGATCACAAATACTATTATTTTATAGTGCTTCAGAGTACTGAGCACTGATTGTAGAATTTTCTTTTTGCTTGATTAATAGTCTGGTATTGGTCAATAACTCAATACTATACCATTTTAATTACTTACATTTGAAAATCTATCTAACTGCTTTTAAAGAAGTTTGAAAGATACATATAAAAGTTGTGGAAAGGTTACCTGGTCTGGATTATTATACTAACATTGTTTCCCCTATTCCCTTTAAAAATTATCTAAGTTCATGTGAAATAATATATTTTAAATAAACACTGATAACTAATGTATATCGATTACCATTGATGGAAGACAAGAGAAATATGTTTTTCTGCTTTACTGCTTCTTCAAATGCATTGTTAACGGATAAGGAAATTATTTATCAAACAGATATGTAAATTCAGGCTTTTTTAGGATTAAATATTTTTAAGCAAAAATAATATATTAAGATATGCTGTATCCATGAACAATTGATTTTCTAATAGTGAAAGGGACCATTAACGTTTATTAGCCTCTGGTTATCTATTTTTAACAGCTCCCATAATAAACAATAAGACACTAAATAAAACCAATTAATCTTTTATTTTTTAACAACAGTCAATATGATTAATTTCACATTGTGAGAAGTCACACCATTCTTTGTATGTAAATACTTCACAGTAGTAAACCAGTTATGAGCAAACATTAAGAAGCCAAATAAAATGTTGCCATTAGCCTCCACATTGATTCAAACTAGATTTCTTGACCATAATGAAAATTTACATTTTATATTATCCACAGTGCATTACACTGTACGATGCACACAATGATGAACTTTGTAGAAGATTGTCTATTCTTATGTCCCTTATCTCTCATTTTGTTGCCTTTCACCCAAATCTTGCAGGAATGGCTATAAAAGATGTTATTTCACCAAATAAATTGACCCCTTGTGTGAGTCTACATAAATGATGCAGATCTCCAATCAGATTAATCAAGAAAGGGATCAATTAAGTATTTTGGAGCTAGATACATGAATCATAAGTTAAGCAAAGCCTGTTTTAAAAAGAAGACAAATTTATGCATGCATAAATGTATGAGCTGACAATTTGTAAATGTCTTATCTACTTTCTTTGAACTGCAAGCAGTTCCCAATATGCAGAACTGTATGACTTTTTGAATACTGCTATAATAATGTATGGTATTTTCCAAGAAAAAGGGTATAAAATAAGCAGAAAAATTATAGTTTTGTTTTGTAACCATTTTTACTGTACTTGGGTTGTTGGTTTTTTTTTCTTCTTAGCAGAAAGAAATCAATACATTGTTTTTTAAAAAATGAAAGCAGTGCAGAAGGATTGAATGTGAGGGATGATCGGTTCGGTGAGTACATGGACACCTTCAGAGCAGGGTTGTCTTTGATGTAGCAGTTATCTCCTGTGCCATCATTTTGCTCTGCCCTGGAAAACCACATTAAGATGGTGGCCCCCTTATTCTCAGGGTCATGGAGAGAATAGGGCTCATGAAATGAATACCAAATGGTGGACTTTATAGGCTGAATTTTCAAAAAGAGGCACCTAGGTTGAAGCTGCAACATGGTTCTGACCCCATCCACAACCCCTCATTCAAAAACTCATACAGTTCTGCATACTGGGGACTGCCTGCAGTGCAAAGAAAGTGGATAAGATATTTGCAAAGCTCTTCCACAAATGCATAACTTTAGGCATGTGGTAGTGCCATTGACTTCAAATAAACTGCCCACGAGTTTAAAGTTACCCATGTGGGTAACAGCTTAGTTGGTTTGGGGGTCATATACAAGTAGACACTCCAGCAAATTTGAATTTCTCTGCAGTTACTTTTATGCATGAATGGGTACATACCAAGAGTACCCTCTTCTATATGTGAATACACATTTGCATGCAAGTAAACTGTTATATGCATGTTTGTAGGTGAAACATATGCATCTGTGTATGAAAATATGGTCCTAAGAATCTTTGAAACATAATTTTTCCGTAAAAATCTATCCTAGCATTTTCTCCCCATCACTGTGTGCTAGAAGTAATATAATAATAATTAATAATTAATAATAATTAATTTACATCTCTATATTGTAGCACTTCAGAAAGGCTTTCATAGTGCTTTAGAAACATTAATTAAACCTAACAAATACATCTCTGAGTTAGGTATTATTATACCAATTTTAAAGATAGTTAAGCTTAAAGAAATGTACATAGAGTGACATACGGTATCACTGAGAGTCAACAAAAAGAACACAGCAGTCCTATCTTCCAATCCTCTCTCCTTAAAAATTAGGCTATATGCTTCATCTTCTCACCCAAACTCAAAGAAAGCATATCTCCCTACCTAAGAGGCAAATTCTGCTGACAGACAAAATTGCACAGCTCTCATTTGCCTCATGTACTAGAAATCCATTTTGTTACCCATCTTTGATTACAAATTTCTATAGGTAGATTCTACAGTGTCAGATCATCAGTGTGTAGGAGCCCTCAATTTCTCTCCTCTAGGGACCAATCCGATGACCCTTACTCGTGTGAGGGTCTCCCCTGGGTGCACACATGAATGTAAAAGCTATGGGCTCAACATCTAAAGTATAATACTGAAAGGAGTTATTTTTAAGAATTTCTTTAAGTATGGGTGAATCTCTGGCATCTGAGGGTTTACAACATTCTCAAATTACATTTTCCAAGATCACAGAAATAGTTAAGAACTTTGTTTTTTGCAGTGTACTTTAAACCTGTCTCTTGAATGTGTAAATTCTGCTGAAACCATTATGAATGTTTTCTTTTCCCAGTGCTAATAATCCCTTTTTTGTCCACTTTCTATGGATGATCAGCACAAAGTCAAACACCACCTATACACTTAACTGAATTTCACTCAAAATATGCATGCTTATCCAAGCAATTGTATAACTTTTGGGGGAGATTGCACTAGAATAAGACAATTTAGTTACTGTTTTCTCATTTAAATAAACCCCAACACAAAAATACATAGGTTTGAAACCACTTTTTTCAATCTTCTTTTAGTAAAAGATTGATCTAATTAATCTATTTCTCTTGTGCCCACACCTTCGGTATTGCAACATGTCTTTTGAATCCAAAAGGGCAGAACTCCTGGACTAATCCAGCTCATATGAACACGTGTCCCATTTCTTTACACTGTCTCCAGCATAAATTGCAGGAAATATTTGAATGATGGGCTGCATGATCAGCGTCCTGAAAAAAATCTCATAATTACTTTGCACTGAAATTCTCAATTTTTCTCTTTTATGGTGAGCTGGTCTTTTATGGGCCTCTTCACACAGTTTCATTCATTATCTTCATGGGTCTCATAGAACTCCAGTGTAAATCTTTTGAGGATGAGCTGCTTGTAACAGTGAGTTTTTGAATACCTGTAAACCTTTCATTGAAATACTGTCAAATCAGCAAAGCCAAATTGTGAATCAGATTCATCGTTTCCTCAGCTAGATAAGTACTAGCCAATAGGAGAAAGCCTGACATACAGCTGCAGATGCATTTCTCACTGTCAGAAGGCTAAGTGTAGGGCCTTGTTGCTAGTGAAGAAACAAAGACATATTGCATGATGTCAGAATGCCAGGAAGCGGGACACCATGGCTTTCCCCATTAAACAAGCAGTTTGTTGCCAAGGCTTTACGAGAAGATGGAAGACTCTGATTCAGGCATCACCTTAGTTTTTACATTACCTGAGTCAATGAAAGCAGGGCATGTTGTGATGCTGGCACTCTCTGCCTCCAGGGAAGGGACTCCATGAATTGCTCTCACACACACGTCAGTGGTTTTGGAGCAGAACTGCAGACATGGGCCAAAGTTTCAGTAGCCTCTTCATAACTGAATGGATATGGCATTGGAGTGGAATCTGCTGTTTTGTATGGTTAAATAGAGGGGGAAATGCAACTCAGGGTGTCAGTGATTCACTCCAACTGCCATTCTGAGTGGCCCAAAATGACTGTTTCAGAGAGGTGAAGAAGCTGTTGGCATAGTCCCTGCACAGGGGCAGGATGAGTGAGGGAGTGCCCAGTTGTGGATGCTTTAGTTAAAACAATCAGTTGCCTTGGACCCTACCACATGGAACATTTGAAGTTACTCACCATGAGATTTATAAAGGGTTTAATGCAGGTACTCAGTCTCCTTCAAACTGAACTGAGAGGACATGATTCTGCAAAGTGACATTTAAGAACTAGCCTACATCTTGAAGTTCTCACAGGGCTCAGATTGATGGGTTTTGTTATATTTACTAACTATGGGCCTACTCCTGCAACTCTTACTCACACCGAATAGTACTTATTCAAACAGAGTAGCTCCATTACAGCCAACAAGACTAAAAACATGAGTACGTATAACTCAGTAGAAGTAAGGATCACAGAATCAAGTCCTCCATGACTTTTGGGGCCATCATTTTGTAAAGAACAAAATAGCTCATATGTTTCTAAACTTCTAAAGCAGTAGGGGAGTGGTACCATTTTGTGCACCTTTTGCTACTATTAACTATAAGTGCTGGAAGCCTGCAAACCTTTTTGAAAAGAGTATGCAAGAACAAATGTTCAATTTAGCATGACATTTACTTTAATTGCAAAATAATCCATAGTCACTCTATAAACAGAAATAGACATTGTTCACAGCATTTCTTTTTTGTTTAGTTGCTATAGGTTTTTAAAAAATAAGTAATTAATTAATTAGGGCAACAGTACCGAGAGCCAAAGATACATTTTTCTTTGTAGGATGTGTATTGCAAGAAAAATATCAACTGGGGTAGAGCCATGATGCCTAGAGAAAAGCATCAATTAAATTGACAACGTAACCTTAAAAAAACAAACAAACAGACATTCATTGCTGAACTGTAGCAGCAAAACAAAGCGTACATTAATATACTTCAAGGAAACAAAAAGCATGAGGGCCAGATAACATCCAGAATCCACCCACCAAGGACACACTTGCATGTATAGTGTCTACCCTCCAATCATCAGCTTAAATACATGACAATCAACAAGAGTAAATATCACACATACACATTGAATATGAAAGTGGGCCACAAGCAACACCTGGGAAGTGCAGGCATCCTCCCTCCGTTAACACCACTACATACTGTACATGACAATCAAAGAGAGAAAAAAGAAAGATGTAAATAAAAACTGGTCATTCTAAGAACTGTTGCTGATTTTTAAAAAAATAAATGAAAATATTTGTCTGAAAATGATTCACTGTGATTGAAGGCTTTTGCTTACCCCTTTCTGGAGCCCCCCAAATGGGATTGTTGGGAATTTCTGCAGCAGAAAAACAGAAGAGAAAAGGGATTTCTGACTCCTGGTTCAAGGAATAGAGGGTCAAATTGCCTCTGTCTGGGCAAGAGTTTAAGGAAAAACTCCAGAGGCTTGGATGGTCCCTGAGTTAAATCTGAATGGATTTAGATCTTACCTCCCCACCCATCAAGTGACTACAGAGAAACTCTACATTATTTAACAAACAGGAAAAAAAAAAAAAGACCTCAGTGGGAAAGGGGAAGTAAATGAAAGGGGCAAATAAGCTTTCATTAAAATCTTAATTAAGCTCAAATTCAAAGAAACTTCTGGGAGAACTTGGGACCCTCCTCATCTTGGGTTCACTATTATCCAGTATTTATTTCTTCAAACTTCTGCCTGCTGAATAGTATTCTGTTCTCAGGGGCTGATTGAAAAACATTTTTTTCTGTCCTTTTTCACTCTTATCTTATCCTCCACTCTCATTCAGATTTCTTCTGAGATAAAGGAAGTTTTAAGTCATTTCCTTCTTTGTATTTCTCAAATCCCAAATAGTTTACATTTCTTAAATTTCACGCGATGAAGTGGGGATCATAGCTACATTCAAGGATCCTTTTCCTGCTTTGACCACCTATAGTTAATCATGCTGCCTGCAAAACAAACACAACGCCAGACTAGATAGTCTCAAGGCCTTTGCTAGAGGAGGCAGCCACAGCTACTTCCCTCACATCAAAGATGCAGTGGCTGGGATGTTTACAAATTTCTGACAATAAACAGGTAGCTGTTTATCGGCTAGAGTGGTGCAGTAGATAGTGGAGAGCAATTCCAATCCTAAGAGTTGCATACAGTATCTAAGGCTGGCAGGCAAACAAGCCTGGGCAATTTACACCTTGATTTCTTGTTGCCAGGAAATTACTTTAAGAAATGAGAGGTGTTCCTAGAAATAAGCAAAGATACTTCTTTTCCAATTCCTATGTTGCTAGGTATATGCTCTACTAATGCCATTTATAGTAGGAGGAAAGACTGGCCATGAAATAAGTTTAAATAATAGTGATTTCTAGTTAGGGATATGAGAACCCAGAAAAATCTGGAATCTGAATTCAAGAACTCTGACCCATACTCCTAACTCCTATATTTTCAAAATGTTGCCAGAGGTTTTAGCTATGTGAATCACAACTAATACAGTTGGGAATTGTATAGCTAAAATCCCAAACAATGTTGGGAAAATATTTTTCTCTGGCAGTTTTGGTTGTTACATATTGTGGGAACTCAGGAGGCATTCGAAAGTTGGCTGCTATCAGAAAATTACATAATTTATAGTATGAAATAAAGCTATTTTTCAATACAAATATATATTTTTAACATGACAATGCTTTGTTTCTGCTGGAGCCAGCGTGCACTTTAGATATTGCTAAAGGGCACAGAAACTTGAGAAGGTTTTGACGCATCCAAAATTTTAGCAACTCTCAAAATTCTATTCGGGATTAAGTTCTAAGACTCTAGTTCTACCATACACACTTTAAAATTCATCTGTTTTTATCCAGCAGCATAGGATATATGCTTATTACACAAACACACACAATATATACTGCTATTGCATTTTTGTCAAATGTAACTTGCATTTGAGTGCTGCATTTAGAATGATTTTCCAGGCGATTCAGCTGTTTTACTCAAGCCTTCTTCACTGCTGAAGGAGAGACAAAACACGGGCAGTCTTTTTAGTTGAATTAATTTGATTTTTGTCTTTTGTGCTGCCAGCAATCAAGATTGTCAAATAAACCAGCTTTGATTCATAAATAATAGTTCCATTATATCTACTCTGCCACTGGTCAGAGTACCTGAAATTTTAATTCACTTGTTCAGCTAAATTTCATCCTCAGTTCATGGCCATAAAATTCTCTATTGACAAACTTTCAAACCAACTTTGACTCTGAGGTATCTAGTCAACATTTTTCTTCTGTGTGGATATTAGTTTATTGAATAAGTGGCATCTGTTTTCCTCCACATCACTAGTGGAGTAGGTATTTCCTTTTGACAGCTTTCCACGATTTATGGGTTTGCATGCTCTGAAGAAAAATAGTACTAAGCAAAAAATTCCAATTCATTACCTCTTAGTACTTAATTAAGTTCATACACATTGCACACTATAGGTGAACCCTGAAATGACTATGACAGCCACTGAACAGCAAGTTATATTATCTTTGGAAGACAAAGAGACTTTTGATTATCTTGACCTCATTTTTTCATCCATAATATTAATAAAATTTCCTTCTGTTTTGTTCCCTCTAACAGATGTACCAAACCATTCTGAAAACAAGATTATATTCTTGGATATTTCCTTTTGTATGTACATTTAGGTACCAAATGTTTTTACAAATTGTGAAGTTAAGCAATGGCCATTATCAGCTTACTTCACACAGCCATAGATGTATTATGTTGTACAGGCTCCTCCTAATAATGGTTTAGTTTTGGAAATGATAACAGTCTGATAAAAGCAAAAAGCAGAGGGTCTGGCTACCCATCAATACAGAAATAAAGAGTGCCTGTGTTTTACCTGTCAGGGTTCTGCGTACACACGTGCATCTGTAAGAGGATCCGCTGGGTGAAAGTCTTAAAGCATTGCCCACATTTCCAAAGGTGCCAGTCACTGAACTCAGAATTTAGTTGGCTGGTTGACGTTGGGCTTGCAAGAACTCGTTGGTTTTTGACACTGATCTGGTTAAATCCTGACTCGATAGGCCCAGACTTATCCAGAAGAGAAAAATTTCTGCTACACGGAGTCTGTGGAAATACTATGGATCGCTGTGGTGTGGCAGGGGGTAGTTTGCTACTTTTGTTAAATGGCTGTAGGGTGTCTGGTCTGGACATGGCCTCCATTACAGTTGAAGGGACATTCACTGGGAGAAAACAAAAAAAGTAAATAAGATCTGCTTTACTATTTCTTAAAACTAATACAATTTGGGGAGAAAATCAAAAATATTCAAAGTCTATTTTCTGCTGACTAGATTCAAACAATGTAATGTTGTTATAACACACATAAAAAGGGCTGGAATGAGACTGCGATCTGAATGGAGAAGCTGGTTCTGCCATATAGGAAGTTATCTGAAGAGAGATGTAAGAGTTTGTAATGGGCCAGAGAAGAGTGACAAGAGTGGTTAGAAGTATGATACAATAGGATTCACATCTGAGAGAAAATTCTGCAGGTCTTACACTATATCAAATCTCTGTGTTGCAGAAAACAGACACAGCAGTAGTTCCCTTATCCTATCAATGGGCAGTCACTAAAGGGCAATATTATACCCTCATTTATACACACAAAGCCTGTACAATACAAATCAGTGTCTTCAGTGTGATTGCTTGCATGATTAAGTTCACGATGAGACATTGGAAAATATATGCCTAAATATCTTTGTACCTCAGTTCCCCACCAATAAAATGGGATTTCTAATACTTCCCTACCTCACAGAGGTGTTGAAAAGATAGATTGATTAAGGTTTGTGAGGCACTCACATATTTTGATGATGAGCACAATGCAACACATGAGAAAATAAAATTCTGCATTCAGTGCAGCATTTGGATGTTGTGCAGTAAATGAGTCATGGGGAGTCACACACATAAAAGAAATATTCGAGATCTGCCTCATTCCTTGAGCACTGTCCATCTTGTGCACTGAATGAGGCAGGGATTCTGTGGAAAAAATAGTATGTGATCATGTACTTAAAGACTGTATGAAAGCGCACAATGTCACATGGATGTCTTAAATTCTGGTGTTTCGTAACTTTTGAGTGCTTGAATTTGCAACCATAACATTCTTTTAATGTAGCATTTGGGGATTTCTCTCTCTCTCTCTCACACACACACACACACACATTTACCTTCTGAATACAAGTATGTCTAGTTGAGATACAGTAGCAGTTTCAAATGCTCTGTTTAATGAATAATTGTGACTAATGTCTGAATAGTTACTGAAATTAAAAATACTGAAATAAAAAAATGCAGTACAAACCTATTTTGATATGGTACTGTAAATAATACAAAGTTCCTTTACAAAATTATTTTTTTAATGTTTCCTCAACCGAAACAAACATGGTAATCCATGTTATTGAATTTATTTATGTCTAGTCCTTTCTATGTTGCTCTTCACTGTACAATCTGAGGGCCTATTTTATGAGTAGCGTTACCTCCAGTAGGATGTGCATTGCGTCTGCAGTACAGTTTTTAAAACACATCCAAACATTTTAGGTGTATGGAAAAATATGTGCAGTAGAGCCTGTCATATGTAAACTTTTCTTTTCATAACTCTGTTTTAAGTTTCTCTGTCACACAAAGGAGACTTAATTTAAAAAAAAATTGTAAACATAAAACCTCCATCAAGAGACCCAAATAATGAGGTTTAAGAGCTAAGTAATATTGTCACAGTTCATTGTGGGTGAAATTCACCCTTGTGCAGAGGAACAGCACAAGGGCTATTTTGAGGGTTTAAGTGGCACTTAGGTTATGCATAGGCCTGGTGCTGGCCCTCTGCCCAGAGATGAATTTTTCCCTTTCTGTCCATCTCCCTAGCTTGTGGATGAAACTCCTTGGTTTCCCTTGTAGCAAAGCAGTGAGTGACAATATTTCAAGATTTAACTGTGATGGGATTTTGTTCACTGTATCGTTTAAAAAAAATGATTTTGTAAAGTACAACTCACAGAAATGAAAATAATATTTCTGTATTACCCACTGGAGCAGATGATTTTTTTAGTGCTAAACATTATGGCCAGTAATTTAATGTCTTTAAAAATCCTCTCAAGTATAAGAGATTTGAAAACTCTTATACTTGAGAAAAAGGATGTTTATTTTTGACAGTTTAATCCCTGGTATCTTGCTGTTTTATTGCTGCCTGGTTCAGTATTTAAGCTGCTAAGAGACCCAAGTTCATCTCAGTATAGCTGTTTAAGTATCCAAGTATTTGACTGAAAAAATATAATATATAGTTGATTATGCGCTGGCAGCCACAGGGTCATTTTTGGCCAAAGTCATTCAAGCTGTTATTATTTGCTTCTTCCACCACATAGACACACATGGCTGTCACAATGGAAAAGAGTTCCCTGATGCAAGCTGAAAGAAGGTAGAGAGAGAGACACACACACACACAAACATACACACACATAAAAATACTAGGAGATGCTGAGCACTCTTAATTCCCACTGAAGACAAGTACACACACCTTGCATGACTGGGTCTGTGATATAAATGATTTGCTTTTTTAAAATTCACAGTAAAATAAAATGGCCGGGGAGATGAATGAATGGAATTGGGGATAGTTGTGACAAGACGGGGGCTCCATCATCATATTAGGTTATTTGTAATTAGCCTTTATTTAAAGGAACTAGCATTTTCTCTAACCACAAGGACCCCATCTCTATGGACAGCCAGCCTGGGCCTCCATCAACACATCCCACACTAATATGATGAAGCAGCATTGACAGTGACTGGAAAGATCACATTATGTTATCTTTTTGGCAAGAGAGTAGATCCTATTATAGAACTGGCAACTAGAGAGAGGGTTGGGGAAGTAAATAGAGAATAAACCTATGCCATGGGGGGAACCTGCAATTTAGGTCTCAGTCCTGCCCACCTGTAGGTATGTGCATTTTAATCATATAAGTCGTTCCACAGACATCATATATCTTAAGGATTTTCAGAATCAGGGCCTTTTTAATCGTCCAACTTACCTTAAATAAATATCCAGGGTTTACTTCATACTTCTTAAGAAACACAAGGAACAAAACAGATTAATTGTGAAATATGCATTGTGGACATATAGTTAGAAATAAAATACTTACAGTTTTCATCCTGTGCAATACACTGTAAAGGGATTCCAAAGAAAGATGTGTAGCTGTCATTGTACCACACCAGCAGTTCGGTGCCTCGGGGGATATCTATACAGGCCCTGTAGAATATATTTGACCTAGTCATAACAAACAGAAAAATAGTCCAGTTTAGGAACAGGTAGCGCTCCTTTTACCATATGCACTATTATGATGGAATTCCACCGTTTTGGAAGAATTTCTGCAAGTTATCCCAAAAGAATAGCTCTTTGATTATAGTAAACCTGAATCCATCTCATCAATGTGGGACTCCAATTAGTGCTTGTAACACAGGATAACAAACAGCTTAAAGCTACTTTGTAACTAAGGTAGTTTAAGCCCTAAGAAAATGTTTTACAAAACGTAATAAGCTATTGTTGTTGCAGTATCCTTTTTGAAAGAAAGTTTAAGGGAGACAGATTTTTTTGTTTCAAAAACATTCCAGTGCAGAATTGGGAATGCAAACACGGCAGCATTGCACCAGTGCACAAGATCTAGGAAATGGGACCGACTCAAAACAGTTCAGTTTATTTTCACTATCCAACCTGAGGGAAACTTCAAACACACAGTTTAGATGGTAAAAAGTAAATAGATAATAATTCTTTTAGATTTAGTAAGTGCTGTTAGTAACAAAGTGAAGAATTTTTTAAATACAGAAGATGATTTTTAACGTGTGCCCTCTTATATTTCCTTCAGTCTCACAACAGAAATATACCTCCCAAAAGAGAGAGAACTAAGGTTGAATAATATGGACTTTTGGCCCAGAAGAGTCCATAAAACAGGGCTTGTAATGAAGAAGAGTTACTGATGAAATCTTTCTCAATATGAAACATGGGAACAAGGTTGATGGCCCCTCGGGTAAGTATGATTTAGTATTTACCATAACTGAGAATCCTTCTATAAGTTCTATCCTGATCTCTCTTTGAGTTAAAGAACTCGAGTAATTCCAATGAAGTTAGAGTTAGGTGCAAAATCAGTGTGAGATCAGAATCAAGCATCTAGAAGAGGAACTGAAAATCTTATTGGTTTGTAGTAGCTTTTTTGCTTAAGCCTGGTACAGTACAGTAAAACGCCCTTATATGAGATGGATAGAAATTCAATACAAACAAGAAGAGCATTCCACTCTGCCTGAACGATTACACACCAAAATGATACAGTCAAGGTACCAAGAAAGGACCATTTTTTAAAACAGCTTGCGTAAGGCAGAAAAATATCTATAGACTAAAAAAAATAAATGTTAGACCTCAACTGGTTTTCTCAGTGAAAAATTGCTACAAATATTAGCCTGAAGTTCAAGATAAAAGTGTTTAGGGCTGGTAGGCCTTAAATTTAGCCTTTCTGTAAAGAATTTGCCGTAGCAGTGCAATTTGTCCCTTGTATAACACTGCAGACATAAGGAGAATCCTTCACCACATTTTTCATGGCAGTGAGATATGCACTTGTCAACATATTTTGTCACCGCAAAGTGGCTCTTGGCAACAGGATCATAAAGATCAATAAAAAAGTGCAGATTCTCAATATTTTACTAGCAGCTGCAAAAATTTCATTTATCTTGTTATTTTCCTCGCTTACTGCCACCCTGTCTCAGGAGGGCACTGCTAGCTAAGCAGAATGTTTTTCACAACATTCTATGAATATCTGACAAAAACTCTTGCCTTCGTGTCTCTCTTGCTCATTCTCTCTCACTCTCTTGCTCTGCTCCTTTCTCTCGCTCATTCTCTCTCTCTCTCCCAAAGCTGTACATGTTATTAATTCTTTCCACCGTTACATAAAAATCAAAATTGGAGCCATGCTATAAATCACCAGCATCTCCTAACTTGAGAAAAATCGAGTCTACTTTGTACTTCACCCTTGTAACATTTCATCTCTCAGTTTGGCTTCCCTTAATATAAACACAGCAGCCCGGCAAATGAATGTGCTAAAACCAAATGACACACTTTGCCGCTGAAAGAGCAGAACTGTTTTTGAGCAATGGGTGGTCTGTGAAGCTTGGAGTAGGCTGAAAAAAAATGTGTAAGCGTACACCGTTCCTTACAAGCATACAGAGCTTCCAAAACTCGCAGAAATCTCTGCATGCTGAAGTACATCAAAGGGATTTTTCCCTTTTCGGATAATATTTCCTTTGCTGACATGTATTTAGTATTGTGGTTGGATGACTCATAAAGATAGCTTCATGGCGTCCCAACGCAGTTGAAGCAGAACACATGCCAACAAACATTATTGTCAGCCTCAAAATAAAAACAAAACGTTCAGCTAAGGGTCAATCAATCAAGAGCGCTTTGAAGAAAATTCCATTTAGATATTACAAATCATAACAGAATGAATTTAAACCAGCTGACTTTCTGTGAGGAGGACGTCCATGTACAATAAAAATTAGACCGGTTTTTCAGTGTCCAACTTTTCTATTTTCTTACACTTGGATTCAGTCACTGGTGATGGATGCCAGTTTTTTAAATTGTGTTTTTGTAGTTCATTTTACAAAGATCTGAAGTAATCAAAAACAGATCAACACAGGGAACTCTAAGTAAAAGCTCCATCATGAAAGCAGAGTTGTAAAATGTACTTAATATTGACAGATGTGTAACGACTTTCTCATGCCCATATTTCATTTATGTTTTTCATCTATATGTATGTATACACACACACACTCTACACATACTTCCCATACTCAAACATGGTTGTCTCAGTGTTTCATAATATACGTGGACTACCAACCAAAAGTGCTCTTTACATCACAGAGACAACTTTAGTTTAAACAGACCATTTAAAAAATGAACCATCAGAATTATAGCTAAAAATATAAATATTTAAGACTACAATAAAAGTTTGTAATAATATAATAAAGCACTGTCATATATTCTTCTTTGAATTGTTACTTTATTTTGACAAGGGGCCAGAAACAAAGTTGAAAAATGCTATTGGGCCATTTTATCATTGTTAAACTGGCACCCTAAAAGAAAATCATCAAACTGTGTGTATTTTTCATTTTTGTTTGCATTCACGTTTGTTAAAATAGTTAAAATATTATAAATAAGTTTAAGACCTGTCATTAAAAAAAAGAAAACCCAAAATAAATAGCCAACAGCAGGAGTGCTCAGCTTAGTTCCCAAACATTCTTTGATGTACTTGCTATAACATTTAATAAAGCCAAACAGTCGCTTCTGATTCTGAAGGGGAAAGATTTGTTTATGGCTGAGATCATATATTTATGTAACACATTTTCTAGGTTTTTTGCTATTGTTTGTAGGGGGAGAAATGGGAGCCATAATTTCTTTACACATTCTTTTTTACATTCTCATTTTTATTTTGTTATAACCTTCACTTGCTATTGACATCATAGGCATAGGCCACAAGACCATCTTGGCTGACAGGTGCATTCAGCAGATACATATTTGGGTCATAAATGCCCAATGATTCTCCCCAAACAGAATTTTGAACACTGAAGTCTGATGTTTTCATTTCAAATGCAGCCTTCTCCTTGTCCTTCTCCCCTAACATAATTATTTATTGTAAGAGAGGGACAACTCTTCAAGCAAACTACTCTTTCCAGAGCAGTCTACTGAGACTACTCAAAGGATGTGCAGATTGCTTTGTACAATGTGATCTGCATACATGTTCCTCTTCTAATGACAGAGGGTTTAAATCATCAGGAACATCAGTGAGATCAGAATCAACCCTGTAGTATGTGCTCTCAATGATGTCCCCCTCCTCAGTTTTTGACAACCAAACTTAAGAGCTCTTAAATCCACACTACCGAGTTTGCACTGTACAAAATGAAGCCATCCAAGAAAGCCCAACAACTGTTTGTGAACTGGTGATAATTACACTTCTGACTTTTCACTTCAAGGATTTTTTTCTTGCAGCGAATAAATCAAGACATACTTTACCTGTACTGAACTACTGTTAGGTTCTGTTCCCCACAGTGCCTTGCACATCGGATATACCTCATCCAACTTGACTTACTGGGTTCCCCGCCATCAATAAAGTGCTGTAGTGTCCCATCTTGGTCATATATCTGGAGAAGAGGTCAGAAGGTCAAGTAGTTAGAACGAATCATCAGCAATCATTTTCACTGCTTTGCCAGTGTCTCTGGGTGCCTGTTCCAGAAATTTATTGCCATGAGATTTGTCACTGCTTATTGATGCCCTTAGAAATACAAACGGAATAACAGAGAAATATTTTTGGTGATGCAAGTTTATCATGTTTCTCTTATCAAGCCAATCTTTTTATATTAAACATATTTGTGGTGTCTCAAAGATGTGACCATGTTTCCCAAAGAATATTTAACCTATTTTTGACAGGCCAGCCTTAAATAATGAACTGCCAGATAAACAAGAAAATCTGGATGTAAAGGCTGCATTGAAATGGCTGGAACAGCTGAGCAAGGGTTAGTAATCCCTAAACATCTAAAGAAGTGGGTTTTTTACCCATGAAAGCTTATGCCCAAATAAATCTGTTAGTCTTTAAGGTGCCACCGGACTCCTCGTTGTTTTAATCCCTAAACAAGGATCACTTCTTTCACATTTCAAATGCAGCAAAAGCTTGTACTTCAGGACAGGATGGTATAGAGTATAATACAGCAAATACTAATCAATTGGGGAGCCCTAAGATTCATAGTACTAAAATTAATGGAAGTGAAAGGAGAAAGAGTAATTAAAAGTACAATTTCTGAGGTAGCAAATGAGAAACCAGTCTTGAAGGATCTATGTTTTCTTAAATATGACATCCCTGCTAAGGACAGGAAAACAAGTCTGAAGTTTAAAAAAGAACCCCACTGCCCTCTTCTTATTGTGTCCTCCTAAAACCAAAGAATCAAATCTCTTTGGAGGCTCTGCAATATTAGGTTAGGTTTTAGTTCTCCATTATTTTTCGTACACGGATGCATTGGGATTGGGATTGGAACCAGAAAACCAAGACTACAGTGAGAGAGCCTGTTCTTACAACCTTTTAAATCAAATTTTGCAAATCATTTGGATAGTTTGGTTAAGTTTCAGATCAGCACTCGAACTGTTGGCTGCTTATCCAAACCAAACCTGATCTCCAAATCTGTTGAGATTGCCCATTTACTAATTCCTGTCCCTTTAAGAGCACTTTCTTTCATGACATGCTTGCAGAAAAACATCTAAGCATACTAAAAATAATCTGCTCTTTTAAACATTAGTTTAGCTAATAAAACAGGGAAAATATACATATATTAAATTGAATTGAAGATTTAAAAAGAAAACACATTATCAATTCCATAAACTCAATTTTATGTTGGCAGGATTGATCCAGAAATGATATTAAATAAATCAGTGTAAATGTGTTTCAATCATCATTTTAAAAAACCAACTTGCTTTTAACCATGAACACATTAAATGCACCAAACAGGGCCAGTCAGCAGTAGCACAGCACCCTACCACATGGGAGATATGAGCTTACAACCTGACCTTGTTTCTTTGCTCCTGGTTGAGAAAGGCTGGGATTTCTTCAGAGGCAATGTATTCATCATTGGGAGACAATGAAGGGAAAAGTGAGTCTTCTACAATGACCCATATAAGTTATTCATGAGTGGCTATAACAAGCTAAAGATGGAACCATGCCCGATGCTCCTTGACTGGAGGGCCAGCTAATCCAAGAGCTAAGAAGTGATGGAATAATTAGGTGAACATAGCAGGAATCCTCAGGGCTTTAAGGGTGTCTTAGAGGAAAAAAGACCTGTGTCTAAAAAGGATAAGTAAATGTTCTTGATGGTTTTCATTTGTTGTTTTTTCCATGTGTGGTACCTTGTTATTAACTAACAAAAACATGAACTGACATCCTTTTTCATATAAATACATGCTAATTTATTGTACAAATATAGGCAGATATCTTAAACAATGAATAAAACGTATGTAACAGAGAGGGAAAAGTTTTACAAGAAATGTGCCCACAAAGAGAGAGAGAAGGAAAAATTAATGACTAACAGTGTTTGGCTGGAGCCATCTTGGCAAAATCTGTCTAAACAGTTTTTCACACGATGCTTATTTATTTATTTATTAAAGGCATTTATATGGTGCCTCGCATAGCAACATGACTTACACTGAGGCAAAAAAAATCCAATTCATAGAGCTAATATCCCCCTCTATGCCATGAATTCTAAAAGATAGAGATGAAAAGGATGAGAACAGCAGACCAGGTGAGAGGGTAAATGGACCCAGCATTTATAGATAAACATGGACAAATAGAGGCCTTTCCACACTTTCTGAATATGACTAGCTAGGACCTGCCACTGAGCATGTCTTGGTAACAATTCACTCAAGCTTCACTCTTGAGTAGAAATAATCCCCTTTATAAGACAAGAATGAACTGAATTATAGCCCTCATCCAAAGTGAACTGGACTTCCATTGACTTTACTCAGCTTTGGATCAGGCCCTGTAACTGTTACTTCATTTTACTGCTGACTTGTACCTACGGTTTAGCTTTCTGTATGTCTCCATATTGCCCCACAGCTGTAGCAGCAATGTCTATAAAAGCAGACGAGAACTCTAAATTGGGCAAAGTTTCATAACTCTGCTAGCTTTTCTTATGTTTGGGAGACATCACAATTTCTCTATCATATTTTCTATCGGATTAATGGCAGAGAAAGGAAGGGGAAATTGCTACAAATGTTGTTGATTACCTGATATTCTGGTTCCTCACCAAAGACAACTGTGTTTTCCCCATTTCAAATGAACCCACAGCAGTCCTATTCCTGTTACGCCACAAACCAAAATCTACAGTGCCATGAAGCAGAGGCCCTTTAACACTAAAGCAAGAAGGACATTGCTACATTGTCTGTTTATTTGTTAAATCACAAAACCCCAGTTGAGGTCTAAAAAAGTTGATTCACTATATCATTATATTTTTGTCTAACTCAGGCAACAAGTATGATGGGGGGAAAGCATAATCAGCTATAATGTAGAATATTTATACTCTAACACAAGCTGTGAATGGAGCTACTCTGGCATTTTATATACATTTACACATTCCCTCTATATTACACATACACATATGCACACTATGCCTGTAGCGAAGCAAGCCTTGTAATAAATTGCATTTACTATGCATTTACCTTTGACTGTTTTGTCTGTTCACTTATCAATCCCTTTTGGGATTACTTTTAACAGATTCCAGAAGAAGCTGCCATGCTGAAAATAAGGTATTCTTTCCCCAACTCTGGCTGGAGAACCCACTTGCCTCTCTAGGTCCCACAACCCTCCTCACCCCGTGCCTTTCCCTGATATGACCAAGGGAGCGGAATCCAACCCATTCATTGTCTCCCTCTTTCTCCCCATGTTGTTTCTTTCAGTCAGAGCTGGGAGCAGCATCCAACCTGCTTACTGTCTTCCCTTCCCTCTTCTGAGCCAATATAACTGTTGATTCGTTGTTAGTTTTGCTAATAAGTAGTACGTTAACATTTCCTATCTTTAGTCAGTTCTAATTTATCTTAAGTAGTACACTGAGCTATTGGTACAATTCAGATACTGACAAGAGGTTATTTATATGGTACAACTAGTTCCTTTTTTATTAATCTCTATGCAATAGGATATTGATGTTTTACAGTTAAAGAGATTATATACTCAAATTTAAATGCAAAAAGGTATGATGATTTTGCAGTTATAATCCCTTGGTTTCAGATTATCAGATGTCCTCACTTTCTTGTCCAGAGCCAGAGTATAGGTTAAAGTGGAAGAGGGCTCTAGTTGACACAAACTATTGAAAGTAATCTCTTTTCCAGTTTTTATTGCCCCTTCTCAAGAATAAAGACTCCCCAACATTTAGGAGCATAGGCACAGTGAGTAGCAGCAGACTATTAGGTATATGAAGGGCAGATGACCAACCTCTTTCCAGGTTGCCATCAATGCTGCTACATAAGCTAGATGTGTTCAGAGCAGGATATAATGGAGACAACAACTAGGCAGTTGGTGTGCTGAGACTGCTGCTTCTTATCCCAAATATAATTGTTTCATCTGCCCTGTTTGTTTTTCTCCACTTGTCTTTTGGCATATGCTAAGGTTGTAATCTCTTTTGGGGGCAGGGTTTGTCTTTTAATTGCATGTATATACAGCACTACACAATGGGGTCTTGATCCTTGATTGCAGCCTTTGGGGACAACCACAATACTATAATAAATCATTATTAAAATAAAATAATAATAATAATAGTCTTTTCAAACCAGATAATATATCATATAAGTGATCCTTGAAAAATCTATGAAAAATGGTTACTAAGCAAAATAAAAAGCTACTGTAACCAAGCAGTTGGGTACTATTTAGAATATTCAGGGGCATGCGCATGAATTTAAATGTGACCGCTTTTGGAGGGGCACATTAAACACACACATATTATACACATCAAACCATATCAATACACATAAGTACATCATATGCATAGAAATAAACAGCAGTACACTCACCATTTCAACAAAAATACATGCACTGTGGAGCCATCTGAATAAATGTATCCACAAGTACTTGGTGTGGTGGGGTCACATCACTCCTCCGGCCCTGGAGCCGCGGCAGGGAGAGAAAGCAAGAGAGCCCCCCCCCCCTCTCCCCGCTGCAGTCCCGGGGCCAGAGGAGCTCTGTGTCCCTGCTTCCCCGGCCTCTCCACACACACCCGCCCCCTGCCGTGCATGCCCCTGAGAATATGTCATGTACTAAATTTAAATGAGACCAGGCACCTCCCACTTGGATCAGATCCCCCCACCCGCGAAACAAGCTGATGTCCTAGGCACTGCCACAAATAAATAATAATAATAATAATAATAATTAATAATAAATGAATAACAATATGCCAGACAAGACATGGCAAAAGCATTCAGAAAACTCTGAATCATTTTCACCCAGATGCTGCCATCTAGGCTCTTGATTAACATGCCAGGTACATGGCAAAATACCCCTCCAGTGCTGTTGGATATACAAGGTCCAGAAGTGCCACAGTAATTGTAATGGAAGGTTGGAATTTTGGTGGAGCATTTCTGCCAGAGAGGCAAGCCAGCAGTGAAATAGTTA